CTCTCTCTCTCTCTCTCTCTCACTCTCCTCTCTTCTGTTGATGTTGATGATGAGGGGATCGATGTCGAAAAGGACATGGAAATATTTTTTTGAGTCTAGTCGGGGCGGGCCGAAGCGAGTCGGAAACTATAAATAACCGTCTTGCATGGCTTAAAAGACGCAGAACCGGATTGTTTTCAAAGATTATTATATTTGTTTATATATTTACATATATTTTAATCAATCTCCAACATAAATACATTATTATTTATGTAGAGCATTATTTATGCCGATGTTCTCTATGGTTTTTTAACTTTTTGAAGTTTCGAGTCTTGAAAGTAGATAACCATTCCTGAATTTAACTCAAAAAGTAATTTTTAAGCAAATAAATCAGGCAAGACAAATATCAAGATACACAAAAAAATCAACCCTCCATCATTTTCTTCATTTTTGGAAATCCGAGAAATTCGAAAAATTCCCTTTTGTGCTACCTACGTCAAACTACCCACAATTCGCTCTACATCTTCCCATCTAATCCCAAAATCAAAATAAACAAAAAGTGCCTCCCCGATCCTTATCTCTCCGAACTCCAGTCTTCGGCTAAAAATCCCAAAAAGGCCCATTTTTTGAGCCTTGAGCGGTCGGCGCGCCGGGTTTTACCCTGGGCCCAGGCCAAAATTCAAAGAGGCGCACGATCAGATCTCGTTCCAAGATCGGGAATTTTGTATAAAAGGAGGAGGACGAGGAAAAGGAGGAGGAGGTCGGCTCGGAAGATGGATGAGGGCCTGGCAAAAAAACGGTCAACCAGGGAGGGTGTGAACTATCGCGCGTCTCTTTTTGCCGCCTCTCTTTTGTCGCTGGGTCTCGTCTTGAGACTCCCAAGAAAAGGTCTAGAGGAAGAGACCGAGACTGTAGATCCGCGCCCAGATTTGAGATTGGGGATTTATGGGGGTGGAGGCAGGAGGGCCTGCGGCTTTTTGGGGGTTGCGGATTATGGTAGTTGGAGATTTATGGGTCTGGCGGTAGTTTACGGGCAAGATTTTTGACGTAAGATTGATTTTCTTTTCTTTTTTTTACTTTTAGTGATTTTTCAAAGTTAAAATTTATTTAAGAAATGTAATTTATTGATTTAGCCTTGTTTTATAATTTGTTGACATTTTTAGCATGAAAGCCATCACTTCATTTTGGCCGTTTTCACGTCATCCTAATCTTTTTCTTCGTCTTTACGTAAGAGAAATTCCCACCTGTGCACAGGGCCGTAACAAACCCAAATTTCGGGGGGGGGGGGGGGCGACCCCAAAAATTTTTCACTAATATGACTAAAACTATAGCGCCGCAGGCAAAATTTTTGAAAACATAGGGTTTATAACACTAAAACTAGTGTTAAAAATAGCCAAAAACAGCGCCGCAGGCAAAAAATTTTTTGGAAAAATTAAATCATAAGGGTCCCCCCTTATGAACTTTTCGGCCTTCGGCCGATTTCGGGGGGGGCGGCTCGCCCCCCTCGCCCCCCCCCCCCCTCTTACGGGCCTGCCTGTGCACCTCCCAAAAATCAAGCACCAATGAATTTGGCAAATAAGCTAAATTTTGGATTTCCTTAGTCGAATTAAGTGGAAACAATATATAGAAATTAGGATTTCAAGAGGTTTAATAATTTTATTAAAAGTTTTTCAATTTCTAGGATTACTGATAGGTATCTGATAGTTTTAATTATTCCTCAAGTCGTTTTTCACGCGTCTATATCATTTAATTATGTTTTTTTTCAGGAAAAGAAGACCTTTGTCACATTCGAGTGCCCGCGCCTCTGATGATGACCCTTCAGACTAGAGGTAAGCATGCATATTTATCGGCTTTTTTGTGGTCTCGGGCGCATTTTTGTGTGTGAGGGCCGTGCGCGCAAGCGATAACCCCCTGAATAATGCCCAGGGCAACATTTGTTATCACGTCGATATGATCAAGCGACGATGATAGTTTATACTGATTTATTGCGCTAGATAATTTTTTTCTCGCTAATGTTTTGGCTACATTGTATTGCAAATACTTTTAAAGTTAAGGATTCCATATTCTGGCGAATATGATAATATAAAAATTCAAAAACGGTATTTAAGTTTCCGGGGAAAACCCAAAAATCGGATTTTCGTGGTAGTGCCTCTTTATGCCTTTTCCCGCGACCGCGGCACGCAACGCTGGGATCGTAGTTTGCTTGCGTAATCGCTCACGATTTCTTATGGCAAACGTGCGGCGCCTGCGATGCGTCCGCGTTGCGTACGGTTACTGCGGTACTGGTTGCGATGGGTTTGACGTTTCGCGTCTCATTGCGTGTCACGTTTCCTGTCACGTAGCGTCCGCGTAGCGTGTTGCGTTGCGTATTGCGTTCTTTGTCGCGCTACGTATTCCGTTGTTTATAGCATCGCGTATCGCGTCGCGTGGCACGTTGCGTCTATCCCCGGGGTGCCGCAAAATCCACTGAAAAGTATAAAGAAAGCATATAATGAAAGATAAGCATCAAAAACTTACCCCAGCCTTGCCAGTTCCTTAAAACGCATCACCTCCTCTACCACCGCTGCCAAATGACCCCCATACTACGTCTCAATGCATAAAATAAACCGAGACCGAAGGTGTCGGGTGTCTGGGAGTGGAAATGTGTATGTGTGTGCGTGTTTGTGTGTAGATGTCGATCTGTCTGTTTGTCCGTCTATGAACCTCCGCATCCCTTTGCAATGGTGGCTTCTCCCTGCCCTCTCAATTCCCGCCACTCTCTCCCCAATTTGGGCCCCTCCATTCTCCAGTCTGGCTGCCCGCCAAGGAGACCCCAGGCTTTTTTCGGGCCGCCACGCAAAAAACATGGCTTCTTGGCGGGTTTTTGGCTTTGGAAAGCTTTTAAAAATTAGAAACTTTAGAGGATCAGCTTCTGGACCTTTCTTTAGCTTTGATTTGCGGTTTATGGTTTTTTGAAAGCTTCATGGCTTAGGTTCTTGGACCAATTTTGAACTTTCGGGGTAAATTTTTGGACCTTTCAGATTTAAAGGTCCTAGAAAATAGAAGTGTTTTTAAAACATTAGAAAAGCTTCCATACTAATTTTATATGTTGACTTTTACGTTTTTTATGTAATACCTAATATTTTTGAACAAATACATCTTTAATGCAAATTGTGAATGTTAGTTTTAAAAAACGGTTAACACATTCAGGGGCATTTTTTGTGCTATATCGCGCCTTCCATACCGTGATGGCGTTTGAGCTTTAGTCTCGCAGTTTTTAAGGTTGACCAAAACAACAAAGTTCGTTGTTAAGAGTATTTAACGCTCAAAAGCGCTTTTAAGATGCGACTCTGATTTTGTAGCTATTTTCGTCCATCGCCTTCACCCTTGCGTATTCCACTTTTTTGAGTGGCTCTAGCGGTAGTCATCATCCCCCATTTGCCAAAGACGAAATCTGTTTACGAGGCATCGATTTCGCTAAAATTCTCTAAGCCGACAAAACAGCCCAGCTGGCAGACCCGAGGACCGTCGGCCCAGGCACAACAAATTTTATGGGATTCCGCCGGGCGCGAGTGCCAATTTTGAATCGACTTTTGTGGGGTGGGAGAGCGCTAAAATTTTTGAATTGAATTTTCCTATGCTTGTTGCCAAAATCCTGGATTTTCCACAGCCTAAAAATACGATTGGTAACATTCGGAATATCTTTATGCAATTTCCACATCCCTAATTAGTATTAGGATCGGATTTTTCGAATAAAACATTACGTAAAAGTATCCAAAATAGACATAAATTCGACCATATTCACATTTTTCGTTCGCTGTGTTTCTTTGAGTAATGTGATTTTTGAATGATTTTCAGAACCGTTTTTGTGGTTTTCAAGCCAATTTTATATTTGTTTCATACTTGCATGGCTTTTACATTTTTCACCGGTTCACACATCATTTTCTGCCAATTTTCCATTCAGAAAAGCTAGCAGATTTTCATAACTTTTCAAGGCTTCTGCGTGACGCCCTCTGGATTATGACTTCCTAATTGCTTCCAAGAGTCCCGAAAACCCCCTAATCTTCTGAAGAGGCGCCCTCATTTTTCATCGCGAATATCCTCCTGCTCACCTCCACCCCCCCCGATAACTCATTCATCCCCGGGGCAACGGCAACGGACGGAAATCTCATTTTTTTTGCCGGGGGCTTCTGCCAGGGACTGGCACCTGGGCCAACACGGCAGTCATTTTCAGTGTGTCCGCTCTAATGGCTCCGACCTTTCCCAAAGCCAACAATCTAGCAATTAGACGGAGGAAATCGATTTTTTTTCAGCGCCTGAACCGGGTGGTGCCGCGGTGGCTTGCCGAACAGCTCAGAAGCCTCTGCGTTGCTTGACGCCGGACGACGGCTACTGTAGCCCGGTTTATAAGTGAGTTCGGCCTGATTTTAGCTCTCTCTCTCTCTATCTCTCTCTTTCTCTCTCTAGCTCTCAAAAATAACATCCACATCAAAGCCCGACCACCCATTTCAAATCGATTCCTCGATGCTCTTGTGTCCAGGAAATGACGGGGCTTTTCCCACCCACCCTCCTCGCCCCGTCAGGATGCAAAAACGCAGACGACAGCCCGATGCGATTATTCTCTAGGGGAAGAGGGTCCGAGATCAATCTAGGACCAGGACCATTCATTTCTGATTCCATCGAAAATTATATTTGGCGGAAAGCAAAAATTCTCTCTCTCTCTCTCTCTCTCTCTCTCTCTATTTCTCTCTCTCTTTCTCTCTCTCTTTAATCTCTCTCTTTCTCGCTCTCTCTTTCTCTCTCTCTTTAATCTCTCTCTTTCTCGCTCTCTAGCTCTCTCACCTCTGTTCTTCAATGATTAATTGTTGTTTTCTTGCTTAAAACCATTAGTAATTTCTCTCACCCAGATGCAAAAATAGTTGCAAAAATAGGTTGAACTCTCCCCCACCATCTGTTCCCACTCCCCCGAAGCAAAAAGTCCTTCCATAGACCTGGCGCTTCCTTGCAGGACCTCCGAAGAATTCGGCCATCTCCTCCTGGCCATGAACGGTACTGAGGCCATCGAAGGGGCTTCGGTACCGCAGTCGCCGAATGCCAAGAAAGTCTACAAGCTTGTCCTGACTGGCGGGCCGTGTGGTGGGAAGACGACTGGACAAGTAATGGTTTACTCATTTGTGACTTTTCTGGCTTAAAAGATCCAAGGATACCTTAAATTACCTCAAACTCCCATTTATACTATTTTATCCATCCGTTTTCAGCCATTTATCGAGTTTTTCAGGAACGTGTTGCCACCTTTTTCGAAAATATTGGCTGGAAGGTGTTCACAGTTCCGGAGACGGCCACCGTACTGCTTGGCGGTGGTGTTAAATTTGCAGTAAGTCACCATCTAGGAAAAACACGGCAATCGTGCGTTTAGGAATTGACCACCCAGCAATCGTACGAGTTCCAGAAGGACTTGTTGAAGACGTTGGTCAGGATTGAGGATGTGAGGGATCGCTCTCTCTCTCTCTCTCTCTCTCTCTCTCTCTCTCTCTCTCGTTTTCACGCTAGTTTTCTCTCTTACTCTCTCTCACTCGCCCTCTCTTTCTGGCTGGCTCTCTCTCTCTCTCTCCTCTCTCTCTCTCTCGCTCTATCTTTCGCTTCCTTTCTCTCTCATCCTCTCTCTATCTCTCCCTTTCTCTCTTTATCTTTCGCTTCTCTCTCTCTCTCTCTCTCTCTCTCTCTCTCTCTTTGGCTTTATTAACCTAATTTTCATATTTACAGGTCTTCTTCAACCAAGCCGCTCTAATTGCCGACCGAAACGTGTTGATCATCTGCGATCGCGGTGCAATGGACCCTTCTGCATATATTGGTAAGTATTCCCCAAGTTTCCCAATTACGGTGCCGTTCTCAGACCAAAAAAGGGCCCCCGATACCTTGGGTAACCCGAGAATATCCCTTCAGACCCGGTCGGCTGGAAGAAGATGCTCGACGAGTGCAGCTTTGACCAGTTCAGCCTGCGAGAGGACCGCTATAATCAGGTATAGGATAGAGAGCGGTGAGAGAGAGAGAGAGAGAGAGAGAGAGAGAGAGTTAGGGAGAGATGAGCTCTAGTATCTCTAGTATGATTTTCAGGTAGTGCACATGGTAACTGCTGCCGATGGAGCTGAACAATTCTACACCTTGTCCAACAACAACACCAGAAAAGAGGGAGTTGTCCAGGCAAAGAATCAAGACGAACTAACACGACAGGTTCGTTTTAAAGGGGTGGTGACAGGCGACTTCAAGTCTTGGCAGAAAGTCATTTTTTTGAAGGGACAATTCCATCAAGGTGTCTACTTTTTGTATGTTTTTGGAAGTTAAAAACCAAAGTTTCTGTTTTTTTGTGAAAGGTTTATTTTATGTCTTCTAGGTCTGGATCGGTCACCCCTACGTCGACATCGTCGACAACACCAACTGCAAAAGCTTTGACGACAAAATTCTGAAGCTCATCGAAGCAGTATGCTACCGTATTGGAATCTCGGTTGGCGATCGTCTACACAAGAACTCAAAGTACGCCTTTATCAAAATTCTGTGTAAACCGTGTCGTTTAGGAAACGAAAATGGCTGGTCAGGGCCTTCGACCTCTCCCACTTCCCAAAATTCGAGGAGTTCAAAGTTACGCATGATTATTTGTTGAGCGACAACAATTCGATTCAGGTAATTTTAGAATTTCAGGGTTTCTCGTCGCGGTCACAAACCCATAAAATTCCATATCATATTTTTAGGTTCGGATCCGGACAAGGACCCAGAACAATCGAACAACATATACCATCACCTCGCGGCATATTAGGAATGATGAGACGGTGGAGACGAGGATGAAAATTAATGAGCGAGAGTATCAGAGGTTGTTTTGGATAGACGTATCTTAAATATAGTGGATTTTAGGTATCTAACGATGAAAGATCGAGGTCGTGCCACCATTCACAAGCAGAGGCGGTGTTTTTCATACGGGAATCAGTACTTTAATCTTGGTACGTAAAACTCGGTGATCCGATTTTCTGGAGCAGCGTTGAAAGATGAGACAATTTCTCATGTTTTTATTCTTAGCTAATGCCTACTTTTCTAGACGTCTACGTCGAGCCCCTGCCTCCAGCCTCCCACGGACAAATCATGATCCTGGAGACGTACACGACAAATGTCGGCGAGACGACCCTCCCCCCATTTATGGATGTTGTTAAGGAGATTACAGGTGAGATACCGGCCGATAATTGCAGAAAAAGCCGCTGTGGAATAACTTCGAAGTCCATATTCTAATAAAAACTCATGAAAATCTCCTAACCGGCACGCTGCCTGAGAATTAAACTAAACGTATTTTGCGCTTAAGAGCTTCGATATGGTTGTTCTTGACACTTGAAATTTTTCAAGTCCCACCGCAAAATCTGAAATTATGCATACAATCCATTCCTTAAAAATCGATAGTCCTGTCTTACCCATCCCTTTAACAACCGGCGCACCACGCTCGCAAGCTTGCCATTTCGTTGCTTGACGCTTCTTCCATCACAAATTCTGAATCTGTGCTTTTGATTGCCGGAACGTCACAACAACCTGTCAATCTGCCATCCCTGGTGAGGCCTTGACCCCCGGTGCGCTCATAAACCCCAGCCCTCTCCCTACTCTCGCCGCCCGGTTAGCTCAGTCGGTAGGGCACCAGACTCTTAATCTGGTTGTCGAGGGTTCGAGCCCCGCATTGGGCTTACTTTTTGCTTTTTGGGACATGAGCTGGAAAGCGGTTAAGAAACACCTTTTACAGCTTCTTTTTTATTTTTGTGTATTACGGCTTGCCAAAAGATGCAACACTTTCATACCAAAAAATCCATGCGATGACTGGCTGCGCGTACAAAAGCGTTTACAGCCGTTTCAGGTGCTCTGGCTGCGCGCACGTTGCGTGTCGTGGCAAAAACCCCAGCAAAATATTACCTTTGCCTATTGTAATTTCCCTTTCAGGCGATCCGCAATACAGCATGTACGAGATCTCAAAGCGCCCCGGGAGTGCAGCCGACACCTTCCAAGGAGAGTTCGAATCCCAGATCTTTAGTGACGACTAGATTTCTATATTTTATTTAATGTCTTAAAAAGGATCCCCTGTCTTCCACACTTCCGTGCTCAACCACAGCGACAAGGAAAAACAAATACCTATATATCATGTTTATACGATTATTACGAAGTATCTCCTCCTCCGATTTACCGGTTGTGTCCTTATTTGTTTCGCCTGTTTGCGGAACTGATGATTTTGCTCGGCAAGTGAAATTGTATATGTGTTTAATAAATTTTTACCTGAGCCTGGAAATACTAGAATTATATCAAAAACACCACATCAAAAAAATAAGGGTTACCAAAAATCACAACAAAAATATTAGATAGAACAAGAAACGCAAAATTCAGAGCCACACACATCAAAACACAAAATTTTTATCCCGCGTTGCTTTTTATGATTTTCTCACCGGCCAAGCTGTTTTTAGCCAAGCGGAGTGCTCAGCAAAGAAGATGTTTTGAGCTTCTGGTCCAAATCTAACCCACGAACTGAGGGAAAACATAGTTTTTGATAGGATTTTTGAACGGGCTTTCCCTCCAAAAATAAAGGAATGAACGTAGTTTCTAAAAATAACCTACAATTTTGCCCAGACTAATTGCTTTCCAAGCGGAACTCGTGTGGCTTTCAGGCCCTGGGAGGAGTCCCGGGCACTAAAATTGGAACGCTGCAGCCAAGATTTCGAAAGGAGCGTCTAAACGTTATATTTTTTTAGCATTGAAGACAACATCATTGGCGAAAAATTATTGTTAGGATATCTGTAAATATACTCTTTCGATTTAATGTGTTCTAATGTTTGTGCGAATTCTGAATCTGCACCTTTCGTGGCCCCGATCGTCAACCATGTCGATCTCGTTGGAGCCTCTGTGCGTTCATAACAGCCAGCCCTCTCTCCCATCCCGAAGCCCGGTTAGCTCAGTCGGTAGAGCACCAGACTCTTAATCTGGTTGTCGCGGGTTCGAGCCCCGCATTGGGCTTACTTTTTGCTTTTTGGGATTCAAGCCGGAAAATTGTTTAGGAACCCGTTATTAAGCTTCGATCCAAATGGTTTGTCTTTCCAAAATTCCAGCGAAGGCCTCTCGAAAACAGCCCAGGTGGGTCTGACGATTCCTTTTTTTGCGAAAAATCGAGGCCCAAGCGAGGGTGGAGGAGGAAATAGGGGGAGGAAAAGCTTCTGAATCGAAGCCCGTCCACTTCCCCCTTCCGAATGGGCCCTATTAAATTATGGGCGGAACAAGGGGGCCCTTCTCGACCCCTAGGGGCCCAGATGCGTTGAGCAAGGCCGTCGTTCTCGGGGAAAATTTTAATCGTTAAAGGGAGCTTGGCATTAAATGGGCATGGATATGACTTTTTAATAGTTTTTATCAATCTGAATGAGCATCAGTTGCTACTTGGAGCCTGTAGTATGCAATATTCTGCCTTTGACTGGCGCTATCCTTTGAAAAACGGAAATTTTCGCAAGATTAATATCTCGTGAGGCAATTTTAAATTCTGTATTCGGTTCGCGGGTTCCCTTTTCGTCAGCTTTTCCGATGTGTTTTTTTTTCATTTTATCACCAGCCTATCCTGAACGTCAAAAGAGCAGCAGCTGCTCCTGCTCCACAATGCCCTCCAAGTTTGCCCCCTCCAACCCGTTGAATTATGCATTTGATTTGGCCCAGCCAGTGGCCGTTGATTTTGTCCCAATGGCTAGGAGGTCTTTGAAATGTTAGAGTTTGAATCTTACTGGGACACCAAGAATCAATTTCACGCTTAGTGTGTCGTCTGAAAACATCATTTTTGAGCTTTCTGAATTTTTAATGACGCGCGTAAGCGGGTGTGGCGTTGGTGGCTGACGGGAAAGCTATTAAAATCAACAAGAGCGTATGTAACAGGTCTGTTTGCTAAAAATTGCCCTTGAATCAAGCCCAAAATGAGTGCTCTCACATCATTCTGACAGCTGATCATTTGGAGCCGAACTCCGTTGCGCTACTTCTACTAATTAACGAAAACGCCTATTTACCATCCATTTCCGCCGCCGAACTCTGACATCTTGGCACGTTGAGCTTTTCCGTTTTCTTGAGGTCAATTTGCCGGGTGGCCACAGAAGTGTTGGTCGGGATGTGTCGAGGGGCCCAGCCGGGCCCAGGCAAGGGCCCAAAATGAAATTTGCATCACCAAAAATGGCGTTCTCTGGTCTGGAAAATCCTCGACGGCCGCCGGAGCGGTCTGGGCCACTGATTTGTAGCTCGAGGAGTTTTTTTTATTTTTTAGTTGCGCAACGAAATTATATTTTTTGTACTCTATACCAGGACTTCCCTTATATGGTTTTGTTTTTACCGGGGCTGTAGCACATTATATTTCATTGCCCAGAATTTTCCTGTTGTCTGCAGCCCTATATGGATGGCACTATGGCCTCAAATTCTAAATGACAATCTTCTGCTTTTTTCAATTCCAGAAATGTTTCGTTTATTTATAAAGCACCTCCTCAATTTCAGCCCATTCTCTAAACTCTTTCTTCGTTTGGGAACGCTTTAAGCCCACGCCTCGCTTCTCTCGGATCGTTTTTGCTCCTCAACCCGCGTCACGCCAGCTTCACGGCCCCTATTTTGGCTGGCCTTCCGAAAATCGTGGGCCCGATTCCTTAGCGGGCAGCCCAAAGCCATAACTCTTCTCATTTTGGCAGCAGCCGAGCAACGGGTCTCGGGGGCCAAAGATTTTGGATTGAATTTTTATATTATTTTTGTGGGGTTTCTTGCAAATATTGCATATTCTTCACGTTTTGGAGAAATGACGATTACTTTTTGAAAGCATCGGGAAGGAATCACGACTTCACAGTAATCTTCAGAAAACTTCGAAAGTTGCCAAATTGCTGAAAATTAGCTTTCGAATCCTATTGAAATTAGACTAACAATAGACCCTGAAAAAACACCACCTATTTCTATACGAGTCAACTGTCCTATTTTTACTGCATTTTTCTATGCATCACCACAAAGCCACAAATGAACGTTTTCAGCGGGTTCATCATGTTAGAAGATGGATTCGGCAAAAAGGCTTACGACAGCTATTCTGAGGCCCCATCCGGTTGCCACCCACCGCGACCGTCAGAGGCCTTTTTGGGAGAGCAGGTAATTTTAAGAGTTTTCTAAACGTGTTCTATTTTTGGCTCTTATTTTCCCAATTATTTGAGAAAAAATCCGATTTCCAAACATCTGGAAAAATCTATTTTCGTTATGTTTTCTCCAAAACGTGAGGAACGCTTCCTGGTATTGCCGGGAAATTGTCTCCATTCCTCACTCACTTTTGACACCCTTTCAGCTCCAAGGTCAGCTTTTCCAGGGTTTGAAAGGACCAGGCAACTGACAGCAGAGTTAGGTGTTCCTTGGAACTTTAGCCAAGAATCCAGAAACTGGACACTTTCCGCAAATTCCTTGACCTCTAGTGAAATCATGACTATACATTACGATCACTCTTCAAAATCCCCCGGAGCGATTTTCGGTTTTTTTTTCTGCAGGTGACTAGACCTGCTTCCGGCCCCCACCAAATTCACTCCATCAGCCGCCGGTCCCGGGCGACAACTCCTTGTGCTTCTCTTTACCCTCGGAAAGGAGTTCATTTCCTGAAATGCATTTCCCCCTCGTCGTGAATGTCCCTTGGGGGGTTCGTCGGTTCGGAGGCCACCTGCTACATTCACCAGCGTTTTTTCAGGGCTGCTGTCTTTTTTGGTTCTTAAGATCTTTCCTAAAACGCTACTCTATTTGAATACTTTAGCATATTATGTTTTTTTTTTGTTAAATAAAGTGGATTTCAATAAATTGGATAAAAAGGTTTTTCGGTCGAAAATGCGCTTCGACGCAAGCCAAGTGCATTTTTGGAAATTCGCCCGTGTTTTGTCGTTTTCTGTAGCTCTCTCTCTCTCTCGATCTATGCTCTCTCGCTTTCCTTCTCTGTCTTTCTTCTCTTTCTCTATCTCACCCTCTCGCTCTCTCTCTTTCTCTCTCTCCCTCTCCCGCTCCCTCTTTTTCACACACGCTCTTCCAATCGTCTATACTAGCACTCAAGGCGAAATCACGCAGCCGTAAATTCCGTTTTAATCTAATTTCGCTGGGCCAACTTTTAACCGAACACCCAAGACGTCTCAAAAGCCCCCGCCGAACTCCAGAAATTAACTTTCTAAAGAAAAGCCTAAATCCCAGGCCCAGCGCCCCCATGAAGTGGCACTTCACGGCTTCACGCTTTGCGAGCCCGCCCTCCTCAAACACGAAACTCCCCAAAAAATTGCCGACCAGCGAATGTTTTAAATAGAATATTCACCCGGGCCGCTCGCTGCATGGGTCCTAGAAAGGGCCCAAAAGCCTCCATTCTATCCCCCATCGAATGTTATTGCCGATTTTGGAGGTGTTCCCACCTGCTCGGGTAGGCAATTCTTTGTTTGAAGCTGTTAAAATCCAGTTTTTGAGAGTTTTTGATGGATTCCCAGTCACGATTTCGAAAATCACCGTTTCGAAAATCACCATTTCGAAAAAGCACCAGTTGGAAAAGACCCGGTCATCAAACGGATATAAAAACTGCAGTGTCGAATAACCATTATTTTTCTCGGAATATGACTAGTTATGTCATAGAAACTGTTTTAGTGGTGACTATAATGAAAGCAGTCATATCCCCAGTGGAATATAGACCCCCGAACCTCAAACCAGCCAACGAAAATCAGTTTTTTTCTATGTGACTGCGAAATAGGCTATTGCTAAATCCTGTGTTTCCCAAATGGTAATTTTCGAAATGGTGATTTTCGAAATGGTGATTTTCGAAATGCTGTCTTTTCGAAATGGAGTCTTTTCGAAATGGTGACTTTTGAAATGGTGTTTTTCGAAATCGTGTTTTGAAATCGTGATTTTCGAAATCGTGTGCGCCAACCATTTTGATGTATTGTTTTATCGGCATTTAGTACATGCTGTTTTTAGCTCACCTTCCACCATCGACGACACTCCAGAAGGTCATCACTCCGCGCCTCATTTCTCCTAGCCGGCCAGTCGTTGCGGAAAATCCTTCTAATTGGTGGGTTTTGAAGTTTCTAGATCGTTACCAAGTACTTACAGTGGTTTTGAGAATATGTTTTTGTTATAATGGGGGTATTTAAGGCAGCTGGCTTCGATCGATTGCAATGAAAAAATCTAGATAAATTTCGGGCGGCTTGCGTCGAAACCTCCAATTTGGAGCCTAGAAATCCGCGGCGCTTCCAGGCTTTGAAATTGGCAACTTGCCGGCGAACTTTGAGGGTTGAAGCTGAAGCTTTTTCTAGGTTTTCTACATAAAAGGGATGCCCAGCCAATTCAGAATTTTGAAAAATCTGTTTGAATAACAAGTGCCATTCCCAGAATTTTATAAAATGTAAAATTTATAAAAAATGTATTTTTGTCTTTTAGTTTTATAAAATATATTTTTATAAAATGTATTCCATTGATTTATGTAAAGCATTATTTTACGTGATTACATTATTTAAGACAATGTTTCATTTAAGATGCGATATTTTGCGTGATTTATTAGCTTTTCTGTAGATTTTAGGTCTTTACCTAGATTTGCGGTCTCCGGAAATCCGAATTTCTGTAGGCAAACATCGAAATCGAGCACTTAAGATTTTTTCGGAAACCTAAAGAATCCTGCAAAACTGTTTGCTCCAAACTAATCCGCATCGCTGGTCAAAGAACAGGAAATTTTTGCGTTGCCAAGTAATGCCACGTAGTCCTAACCTTCCATCATTAGACAGAAAAGGCATCTCCGACCTTTTGACCTATCCAAAACTATTCCGGGAACTCTGGACTCTGGGCGTGTGTATAAAACACAATGCTTACATATCAAAAATTCGCCCTTTGACGTGTTTTTCCGGGGGTTGAATCCTTAAAACCGGCGGGACATCCAATCTGGGTAAGAAGTTCATCGAGCAGATGCCCCCTTTTCCTTGTTCACACAAAAACCCGCAAAAAGTTCTCGCGCTCATAACCCACTCCAGATGGCTCTCGTGACGGGCGCTCGCGAATTGATTTCGAGACTCGAGTGAAAAGCCGCCGCCCGTGTTTTCAATAGTCCTAATTCCACTCGACTCGAGTGGCAACTTGGTTTATTAGACTCCGGGATTTTCTACGTATTCTGCCGCCTATTCGCAACTTCTGAAGACGTTGTTTGGCTTTTTTGCTTGCTTACTTGCACTAAAAATTTCAAGCCGAACCTTGAGCCTCAAGTCGTTTTTTATGCTAGCAGAAAAGCCGCCTTATTGAGCCGCAACTTTCTGCTCTCAGCTTCATATTTCCGCAGGAGAATTGGAGCTGAGCTTCAGTTTATTTTTTTCGGCGGCTCGCTTCTGGTCAAGATTTAAAGCCGACTTCCTGAGCTAAGGTTTTTCTCAGCGCCGAAGTCACGAAGTTTTCAAAACCGATTTTCTAAGCTACTACTTCATTTTCGGCTCGTATTCGATACCCGAAAAATGCTTGCCCCCGAATGCCCGGATTCCCCGCTTCGAATCCTGCGCATGGCCAAAGAGCAGTGGCCAGAATTGATGGAGAATCAAGTGCTCACCATCGATTCGGTCAGCTTCATCGGACCTGTGTCGAACCGGAACTACAAGCACACCAAATTTGAGGGCCGCTGGAGCTTGAGAATTTGTGAGTATACCGGTAGCACATGAAAAAATGGCACTAGAGGCGTGGCAGCCTCGCTCTCGTCATCAAGTAAAGTTAGTAGCAACTTGACTTTCTTTATAAAGCTGATGACCAAAAAGAAGCTATTTAAGGTATATTAAAAGAAAAAGATATCATAAAGTCCATAAAGTAAATTTCCGGCCTTCGTTCGCCTGCATTCAACAATAAAATCCACTTTATTTGGGCGATTCCAACAATTGCAATTTAATAGGCTGGGAAAAACGAAAACAATTGCATTTTATTAATATTAAAAAAGTACTAGGTTAAATCCATGCCGTACGTTCTTTTAGATCCTTTTTTCAGCGCCGCTGTCTCGCCACAAATGCTGCCTGGGCTGTGTGAGTCTGCGCGATGCGGTCCCCCTGATTTGCGTGATTGAGATTATTATGATGGGTAAGTAATTTAATGCTTTCTCTGCTGTTTAAGACGGTTTAACTTTTCTAAGCTGTCTTTATAGCCTGGTGCGCCATGTTCGCCATTGATTTTGCGGTCAACGACGGGGTGTTGTTTTTTACGCGTGAATTGGAGGGGCGAGGACAGCGCATATCTGCTTGTAGGTTTAGAAAAAAGTGCAAATCTACTATGGAGACTATGAAAAAACACTTCACTGGGGAAAGACCTATTTTTAGAAAGTTTTCGTTACGCTATGAAAATCTGGCGTTTGAGGGTCTGAAAGTACTTCACTTTTTTTCGCTATCTTTTAAAAGTATTATATTGGATGTATTAAGTTGGATTTAAAATTAAATACGAATTATATTAAAGTATACTATGTATAAGTTAGTACTGACATTATAAACACCTTTATAGCGTTTTTAGAAGATTTAGCTAATAAAACCGATCTTTTTATAGGCCTTAAAGTATTTTCAGTTTTCAGCACCACGTAAATAAGTATGCTATTAAGTGTGACATCTTAAATAGCAAATTAAATTCGCATTTGTTGGCAAATAAAACGATTTTGTCACTTTCAGGTCTTGCCGTCTTCGTCGCCTGCTCTCTCGTCGTTATCGCCGTCACCCTCTTTGCGTGGTATTACAGAAGAAAAAGCTTCTATGTGCTCCATGTTCTTTGGCAGGTCTCAAATAGCTGAAATCCTGCGAAATAAAATCGATTTAGTTAGTCTTCGTTTCCTACGTGTTCTTCCTCGTCTACCTACTGTTGATGCGGATATTTGTGTACAAGAATGATGCATCGAGGTAGGAAAAATCCAAGTAAATTCAAAGTTTTTTGACGTTTGCAGAAAAATCATGATCCCATCTGCGATCACGATAGCCGTATTTTGTACGTTTATTGGGATTTGTGAGATGTGGTGGTAAGTTTTTGAAGAGTGAAAAAGTGCGTAGTAATCCATAAAAACACTTTGTTTATTTTTCTCCGAAGTCGTGCTCCTCGAAAATTTTTTTATGTGTTTTTGCCTAAAAATGTCGTTTTTTAGTTTATTTCCTTTCAGGTTGTTCATTATGGTCGACGCGTTGCTATATGACGATCAAAAAAGCTCGCGACGAACCAGCGACAACGAATATCCCAGCCGGCCGCATAACCAGTCAAGACACAACAATTCGCTGCCCATTTTATTAATTAATGACGGGGATAAAATTGATATATGATGAAAGACGTACTGAAACAATACAGCGTAACAGAATTTACGTAAGCTTTCAAAACAAAAATTCTAATTGTAAAACTGGCAGAAAACCGAGGGCGAGATCACAATTTAAGGGTTATCACCATTGCGTGCCGCGTGGTCTATCGTATTGCGTAGGACCGTAACGCGTAACAATGCATATGACGTTCCATCCGCGTGGCATCACGCGTTGCGTGTCGCGTTGCGTGTCGCGTTGCGTGGGGCGCTGCGTGTCGCGCTGCCGACGACATTCGGTGACGCGCTGCGTATCGCCTGGCGTATCGCCTTTCATGCCCCGGGCATGGCGGGATCCATAGGAAAAATCGCAAACCAGAACCGCACCTCTCTGGTACAGTAGCGGACAAAAGTATTGGGATTTTTTATTTTTGACAAAATCTCGGGAGATTTAACACGAGGTGAGCTCAAAAGTTGGTCCCTAGTAGAATTCAAGATGCTTTTTCATATGCAATGCGTTAAAACCGGCTACTCCATAGTACAAGAAAATTAGGAGAAAATTTCAAAAAGCTCGACGACAAAAGTATTGGGATTTTTCTTTCTGAAGCCTAGAAAACGAGCAGGCAACCTTGCAGAGCTCTTTTATTGATGCAAAAGCGCCAACTACAGTTGAAATTTACTTTTCTCATAAGCGATTCCATCCCGGAAACGCCGGGGAATTTTTTGAAAATCTCGATTTTACTATGAAAATTTGCTTTTTTGCCTCTAACTCTTTGAATACAGTTTTAATGCCGGTTTGCTCTATATATTCCGATAGAGCACTTCAGGGCGATCATTTTCGTATATGCATGTCCATAGTTTTTCGCCATGCCCCGGCAGATAGAGACGGCCCAGTTCTGTGCACGGGGGTTTGGGTGTCCTTTCCATAGATAGGGCCCCCATTTTACTACGGACGCCGCCGACTGAAAGATTAGGCCCTACGTAACTCTGCGAGGAGCGTGTTTCCTAGTGACTATAGCATATCGAAATGCTCGTCTTAAGCTGCTCTATCCGAATATATAGAGCAAACCGGCATTAAAACTATATTCAAAGAGTTAGAGGCAAAAAAGCAAATTTTCATAGCAAAATCGAGATTTTCAAAAAATTCCCCAGCGTTTCCGGGATGGAATCGCCTATGAGAAAAGCAAATTTCAACTGTAGTTGGCGCTTTTGCATCAATAAAAGAGCTCTGCAAGGTTACCTGCTCGTTTTCTAGGCTTCAGAAAGAAAAATCCCAATACTTTTGTCGTCGAGCTTTTTGAAATGTTCTCCTAATTTTCTTGTACTATGGAGTAGCCGGTTTTAACGCATTGCATATGAAAAAGCATCTTGAATTCTACTAGGGACCAACTTTTGAGCTCACCTCGTGTTAAATCTCCCGAGATTTTGTCAAAAATAAAAAATCCCATTACTTTTGTCCGCTACTGTACCTTTAATTGTGCAAACCCAGATTAGACAGAAATTGGCGTCACAATATTAATTTGTCTGATTCCGATTCATTCAAAAACATGATTTTCATAATTTTTTATGACACAAAAGAGCAACATTCTGACTAAGCGAT